AACAGTCTGCAGAATCCCCTCACTGATTACACTGTAAATGATAATCTACCTTAACCAAAATCAAAGTAGACTATCACTCACCTATTGTCACATAATATCAGAGCGCCAAAGCGAAAAAAACAAGGAAAACAAAAAAAACCTTAAATTCGTTTTTGATCTTCTTCCTTACAACTCCCCCTGTTCAGAACCTCTTGGCCAATATATATATGTGTGTGTATATATCTAGATATAGCGTCAAACAGAGCTGCCTACGGTAAAGCGTAGGGGCAGACAGGGAGGGAGAAGGAGAAGGAGAAGGAGAAGAGGACAACGAACGAGGGGCTGTGACAAACTGTGTCGTCGGAGTTTCACCGACTCATCAGATATATATATATCGTATATATATCGTCACAAACAGAACTGCCCGGTAACGTCACATATATATCGTCACAAACAGAACTGCCCGGTAAACCGTAGGCAGAGAGAGAGAAGAGGACAACAAACGAGGGGCTGTGACATATATCGTCACAAACAGATATATATCGTCAAATAGAACTGCCCGGTAAACCGTAGGCAGAGAGGGAGAAGAGGACAACAAACGAGGGGCTGTGACAAACTGTTTCGTCGGATCGTCACACTGTAAATCGGAGCGCAAAGGCGGAAAAAGACAAAACAAGAAAAGGAAAAGAAGTAAGAAAGGAAAGCCCCACCTGTTCATCACCTCTTACGTACAAGGCCAGCCACGTGGATCCCCTGTTCAGAAATATATCGTCAAACAAAACTGCCCGGTGAACAGGGGAGTTGTAAGGAAGAAGATTGAAAATGAATTGATATCTTTTTTGTTTCCTTTTGTTTTTTTCGTTTTTGCGCTCCGATATTCATGTGACGATATATATATCGTCACAAACAGAACTGCCCGGTAAAACCGTAGGCAGAGAGAGAGAAGAGGACAACAAACGAGGGGCTGTGACAAACTGTTTCGTCGGAGTTTCACCGACTCATCAGGATATCGTCACAAACATATATATAGTCACAAGATATCAGAGTGCGAAAGCGAAGAAAACCAAGAAAAAAATGAATTCATTTTTTATGTTCTTCTTTACAACTCCCCCTGTTCAGAACCTCTTGCGCACAAGGCCGCCCACGTGGATGTAGGTTGAGCGGCGGCTGCCCCCACCCCCGTGTGTCATATCGACCCACTTGCACACAGCCAAAGGGCAAAGAGGCAAAGAAAAGAGGAAGGGAACAGACAGCCAAATACAACAAAACAAAACAGGGGCCAACAAGCAATGGTACCAAAAACCGATCCTAGATGACAAGTCCCACATGCAAGCACCGCCCCTCCTTCACAGGCCAAACGACCCCGGACAAGCCCACCCAGGACAAAACTCTTGTCTGCCAAAAAACAGAAATCCCAGATTCCATATCTATATACAGGAGATGGCCTTATTCGTCCTCAAGACGTGGGTATTCCCATTTGTAAACCTTCTTACTGGGACAAAAAAAAAAAAACAAAAAAAAAACATAAGAGACAATCCCAATCCCGGATGACGATTCCCACATACAAGCACCGCCTCCATGCAGGCCGAACAACGGGAAACAACCAACCAGGATGCCAAAAAAAAAAAAAAAAAAAAAAAGCCCGGATGACTGGTCCCACATGAAGCACCGCTACTCTCGCCGAAATAGACCGAATAACGGGACAAAACCAATATATATATGTATATTGTCACATTGGAGATCGGAGCGCAAAGGCGGAAAAAGACAAAACAAGAGAAAAATATATATATATATATCGTCAAATAGAACTGCCCGGTAAACCGTAGGCAGAGAGGGAGAAGAGGACAACAAACGAGGGGCTGTGACAAACTGTTTCGTCGGAGTTTCACCGACTCATCATATATCTCGAGAGAGAGAGAGAAGAATGTCCAATCTTTTCGCCATTAACAATAACAAACTCTTTTGTTTGTCTAAATAAGTATACGTTTTTGAACAGGCAGATTACCATAAAAAATAGATAACTTTTTAATCGCTTGTAATTTTTGTGAAAATTCACGGGCCTTGTTTGTTTTTTTTGGAGCCTTCGAAAGAATTTTTTTTTTGTTTTTGAGTAAGTTTTTTTGTTTGCCAAACATTTTCCAAGATTTGTCGACAAGTTTTAAATTTTGATAGGCGCATTTGATTTATCTCAGTTTTTTTTTCATCAAATCGCAATTGCGGATAACGGGAACCGAACCCATATCCCCTGCTTGGAAGATTGATTGGCTTGATAGATCGGTGAATAGCTAGATAATAGATAGATAGATATAAGATATAAGATTTATATTGTCACAGAACTATTGACTAGGAGTGCAAACACGTGAAGTAGAAGAAGAAATAAGATGAGCGAAGAAAAGAAAAAAATGAAAAAACAGACAGGCAAAGAGACAGACAAACCAGAAAGACAGAAAACCGTGTCTTCTTCTTCTTATTATTATTATTCTTCTTCTTCTTTGTTTTAGTGTATTCTTATTTCTTTCACTTTTTTTTTTTTTTTTCTTACACTGAACAAAGCATAAACATAAAAAAGACAAAGACACATTGAAACCATTCCATTTCTCAGTCTTCCCAACTCCTCCTCCTCTGCGCCTCTCACGTACAAGGCTCCCGCCACTTCTCCGGAATGAATTTGAGCCCGAGCTGCCCCCCCAATCCCCGCCGTATGCCATAACAGCCCCCTTGCACGCATAGATATATATATATATATATATCTGCCTACGGTTTACCGGGCAGTTCTATTTGTGACGATATATGTAAAAAGATAAAAAATAAATAAATAACAAAAGAAACGAAGGAAAAACACAAAAAAAGAAACCTGAGAAAAAAGAAAAAAGAAGAAAGAAAAATATGTTCTGTGGGATGGTAATTGGATTATCTGTGGGATGTGTCACTTGCTTCGTCTGTTTMATAGGCTTTCTTCTTCTGTGAGGTTTGGTTTCCTCYGCCTTTTCTTYACCTCTKTGCCTTTTGGCTGCGTGCAAGTGGGTCCTTGTGACACACGGGGATGGGGGCAGCCAGCGCTCAACCTGCCATCCACGTGGCTGGCCTTGTACGTAAGAGGTGACGAACAGGTGGGGCTTTCCTTCCTTACTCCTTTTTCTTTTTCTTGTTTTGTCTTTTTCCGCCTTTGCGCTCCGATCTCCAATGTGACAATTTATATATAAAGTACTATAAACATATCCATGCGGGTCTGTTACCTTTTATCTCTCTAATATCTAGCTATTCACCGATCTATCAAACCAATCAATCAATCTACATCTCTCTCTCTCTCTCTCTCTCTCTCTCTCTCTCTCTCTCTCTCCCTCTCTCTCCCGTCACTGCAGGTATCCATAATGGGGCCTCTGAAGGGCATATGCAGGAGTAAATAACCTTTTCTTTTCTTTCCTTTTCTTTTTTTTCAGTTACAAAAGAAGAAAAGGAAAAAGCCATATCAATCTAGCACCATCGTATCACATACTATGGTCAGGGTTTTTTTTTTCTTTTTTTACTGTTCTCTTTTTTCGGATAAGACTTGGTAGTCGTTGAGGAACGGTCGACGAGAGCAAAAAAGAGGGGGGGGGGGGAAAGGGACAAAGTGAACAGGTTTAGAAGGAATATTCACAAAACCACCTTTTGAACTGCACCTCACCCTGATTACGGCCATATTCAGCCCAAAAAGGACAGTGGGTGAGTACGACCGCCCTGACCCTTGTTCAGCAAAAGGAACAAATGGTATGTTTTTTTTTTCTGGGATGAATGTGATCCGTATCAACAGCCAGATTCATTCTGTCGAAAATGTCCAAGTGCAAGCCGCATCGCCTTAACTGTTTTTTTCATTCTGCTCCTCCTCCCCCAATTGATTGCATGATAATCATGAACAAGATCATTTTTTGTATTTTCCTTTTCCCGCCGTAACATTCAGTTTTAGCCGTGGAGCAATGAATTTTCCCGCCAAATTGTTTTTCTTTTTTTTTTTTGAAGTTTGGTCCTGTTTGGACCATTTCTCGATTTATGCGTGTCATCCTTGAGCAGGGGCCATACTAAAAAAAAATAAAAAATAATAAAATAATAAAAACTTCGCTCTCTCTGTGTCGTCCCAATTCTAACGGATGTCCGGAAGGACCGCCAATTTTTATTATTATTTTTTTTTTAATTTTTTATATATTTTATATTTTATTTTTATTTTTTTAAAGGGCGACGGCCTCGAGATAGCATCATTGAACTGATTATTATTTTATTTTATTTTATTTTATTTATTTATTTTTATTTATTTATATTTTATATTTCATTTTTATTTTTTTAAAGGGCGACGGCCTTGAGATAGAATCATTGAACTGACCGGCCCCCAGGTGACTCAGGATTATTTTATTCTGTCCATCTAATTGCATCGGAATTCGAACAGTTTAAAGGGTCTGTGTTTCAACAGTTCATGGGGGTACCAACTGAGCTAGGCCCGTTGAATTTGGCGGGCCCTATAAAATCAGGATAAGCTTGCAAAAAAAAAAAAAAAAAAAAAAAGCAATGAATTTTCCCGCCAATTGAAGCATATGTCCCCCCCAAGCTTTGAGATGATGATGAGGGGCAGATCAATCAAGCGGCGCCCAAACAGGATTACCCTCAACCCCTGCACACAACGCACCATCATCACGACTGTATCGGACCGTACAATGAGGTTGTATACACTCGTAATAGGGGTGCGTCGTGTTCGAGGAAAGACGGTGGTAAATATTTCCTAAAGAAGATCAGGTTTCAGCCTTTCAACACGATTCCAAAATCTACAAATTTGTTTGTGAATAAATAATTCAAAAATGAAAATACAAATTGCTAATTTATGTTCACCGTTTACGAAAATAATAAAACATAAAATAATAAATAAAGTAATTACATCAACAAAAAAAAATGGCGGCAGCCTTGAGATATCATCATTCAACTGACCAGTCCCAGGTAGAGTTCCGTTTTTTCTTTTTTTACATTTTTTCCCCCTTTTTTTTCCCTTTTTTTCCTTTTTCCTTTTTTTTTCCTTTTTTTTTAAACTTGTCTGATTCCATCGGGATTCAAACTCCGGCGAGAGGTCCCACTGGCAAAGAGGATTGGATTTAACACCTGAATCTGGACGTTCTTTGGTCAGAGATGCAGAAAAGCAGATCCATCGCCATTTTCTGCACCTCTCCACAAACACCTCCACATTCAGGCTTTAATTTCAATCCTGTTTACCAAGGGGAGCTCTCCACATTACGACGATTTTTGTTTATCTGACTCGAGGGTGGTCTTTGCTGTCCGATCTTCCTTCTTTTTTTTTTCTTTTTTTTTCTTTTTTTGGGATCTTCCTTCTCTTTCTCTTCCTCTTTGGCTTCCTTGTGGTCTTCTTCCCTCTTCTGTTTTCCGTGTGGCTGTCCAATCTTAATGGCATCTATGTGTGTGCATATGCACAAATGTCCAAGGGGAGCTCGGTCCCGTTCTGTTTATTAACAGTTCGTCGGTGCTCCATTCAGTCTCATGGGCTGGGTAATAATTAGTAATATTACTATTTTATTATTACTCATAAATATAAGAGAGAATCGAACAAACAATAGTAATATACATGCAAGCCCCTTCATGCTTGAAGGGGTCCCCTCTATATAGCCTTGGAGTAGAGGTAGGTCAGGTAGTGAAAGGCGAAGTTCCAAATTGGGGGTTGTTCACTGAAGGCAATAAATAAATGAAGGCCACCCTGGGCTGCAAAAAAAGGCCACCCGGTTGGTATCAGATTAGACACAAGATTGAATTGACCTGGGCTAGTTAGTCCGATGATCATACCTCAAGATCATCGCCCGTTAAAAAAAAAAAAAAAAAAAAAAAAAAAAAAAAAAAAGGGAATTTAAGAGAAGAAGAAAGCATAGTTAAATAATAATAATAATAATAATAATAATATAATTCTTTTTTTTTTCATGGTAATATTCGCTGTATCGTCCCGAATATCCGGAAATGAAAAATAAATGCAAAATCGAGAGAGCCCTTCATTTTACTCTATTGCTTCTTCTCTTTCTCGATTTACCTCTGTTTCCACCGTTTTTCTGCCTGCGATGTTCACCTGGCTTCGTTTGTGACTATGTTCATTTTCGCCGCCTACTCTCTCCGCCAATCGACTTAGAACTGTCAGCAAACCTACCCTACTCTGTTGTCCCTTTACCCAAAGTATGTCACTTGCCCAGCCATGCCCGCTCCCTCCTCCCTTCTACCTCCTCCCTCCCGTTTTCTTTCCCCTCCATCGCAAAGCAGATCACTTGCCACACTATCTCCTCTCCCCCCTCCCTCTCCCCTCTCCTCCTCCGACTATTACCGCTAGGGTCGATGATGAAGGCCTCTCTCTCTCTCTCTCTCTCTCTCTCTCTCTCTCTCTCTCTCTCTCTCTCTCTCTCTCTCTCTCTGTGTGGTTGTGT